CCCTGAGGTCCGTCACGACCGCCTCCACTGTCTGAGGATCCAGGTCCCCCCGGACTCCCTGGAGGCGGCTTCTCTGGCCGGTCGCAGATAGCGCCATTATGTGCCGACGTGATCTCAGTACTCGGCGCGACACTCCTGTCGCCCCCATCCTTGTCCTGCCCCGCCCCCCAGACGGCCTGGCCGCTGGCGGTCCCACAGGTCCGCCCCTAGAGAATGGATGAGAATCGACAAAACCGGCGTCGTCATTGGCACCTGTTAACTTCACGTTGATGGGTGAGCCATTCTCTGAGGTACTCGGCTTGGCCGGACCTTCGATTGCAGGGCCAGGGGCAGTAAAGTTGGGTCGCATAACAGACCTCACGGGCGTTTCTTGTGAAAGCAAAGGCATGTCGAATGAACTTAAGGTGGGCAATTGTCCCTGTCCCTTTTCACTATATGGAAATGGCTTTCTGATGATAGCTTTGAGCTTCATCACTTCTCTCCCTGATGCAGCTGCGTGTGCCGGGGCCTCATTTTTCTCTCGGACGTTGGCGGCTGACCTTTCTGAGATTAGTCTAATCTGCTCTCCAGCCTGCTCCTTTATTCGCTGAACATTTGATTTGTCAACGCTACATTCATCAAGAAGCTTCTGCTGTTGGGCCCGAAATCCGTGATCAGCACGGTGTCTTTGCGATTGCCCATTCCACTTATCCAGTTCTGCCGGCAAGCTCTTCTCGTGAGTGCATGTGGGACGCAGTTTAGTGCTCATGTCGAAGTGATCCTTGCAGCTGGGCAGTCCACACGTGGCGCAATCTCCAATTTTCGGGTTGACGCAAACTGAGCAACTCTCTTCATCGCCCCGTTTTGCAGGCTGTGGCTGCGGTGCAGCCCTTACCTGCAACATTGGCGGCGCCACACTCACTACGGTCATCAAGTCAGACTGGGCCGGTACGGACGCTGCGCCGGACGGCTGGGCCGCCGGCGATGGTCGTCCGCTCGCCCCAGCCGGCTTGGCCGGCGGGCGCGCACTGTCGCTCAATTGCACGCGCTGAAGAGATGCTCTGGCGTTCTCATGTGACTTGAGCTCTTCTCGATATTGATTTCTCTGATCAACTATCGTCGCAGCTACAATATGGGTGTTGGCCGCTTCCAGCCTGGCAGTTTGAAGTTGTTCTTGGAGCTCCGGCCTTTCTTGAACTGCCCTAGCTGTGGCGATCCCCTCTCCTTCTATTCTTGCCGCTGCAACAGCTGCGGATGCTGCGTTGACATCAACAGACTGACTGTTTGCCGTCATGAAGGCTTGTCGTTCGGAGGCCATCATCTCAGCGTATATGTTCTCAGCTTCTTCTTCCGCGCGCCGCTTGGCGGCCGCGGTCTGATGGGGCATCTGTTCCACCAGTTCTTAATCCCGCTCTCTGACCGCCTGGGCCATAGCCAGTCTCTCAGCATCGAACGTCTTCCGACAGTCCTCAACGACTGCATTCATTTCTTCTCTATCCCGTCGGGCTTTCTCGGCCCTCTGAGCATCGCGAGCCAGGAATTATTGCTGGGTTTTGGCCTCAACATATCTGGCCTGATTTTGCATCGCCTGGAGGGGAAGGTAAGAGCAATTGTGCCCCCCCATCGGCACGCAGTCTACACGCAGCCACTGATTGCTACAATTAGGACACACGTCTGAGCAATTTCTACACACTGGGCGTCTACAAGCTCCCTCAGGCTTGCGGGCTTTCCCCGGGCACCTGTTCTCCGCCTGGTCCGGGCAGTCGGGGCCATAGTTCCAGCATGTCTCGCGCATGGATAACGCGATGTTGCTCCTCGATGCAGATCGAGCTCCAGATCTGGGTATCCTGAGCCTTCCCCGGCTCGAAGCCTTCGATCTGGGACGCACGTGCGTGCTCTCTGGCGGTTCAGCCGTTTCTCGAAGCTCCTCATCCCGTTCATCTTGTTTAACAAATTCGTCCAGCGAGGCCGGGGGGTCAATCATTTCATCGTCCTCAACTACAATGGGTATCGACGGTTGCCAATCGCCTGTGGCGACGGCAGTCCGATGAAACCGTTCCAGAACCGGAGAGTCATTCAAGTCGTAATCCTCATTCCTTTGCATCTTTAGTTGAGGGGCGGGATTTATTCCTGTGATCTCCCGGTCATGCTTCGCTTGAGTCGGACTCTCCGTTTTTGCCTCGCCCGTTTGGGGCGTCAGGTCACTTATCTCAATGTCCGAATCCGGTATTGCAAATGCTTCCCCAAGGGCTTCTACTTGATCGCATACTGCCCGGGGTACCACCTCTCGTCTTGGACGGGGTGGTCTGCATCCATTATTGAAGACAAATCTCGGCCGAGTGGCACTTGATAGTTGGCATACTCAATATCGTTCTCCATGGAGTTAATATCGTTTCCGTCATCAAACTGTTCGTCATTGTCTTGGCCGGTCTGTCCGTTCAGAGCTATCGGGATACGGTGGGTCCTTTGTGCGTTTCCCCATCCGTCTGGGACGGTGGGGCATGCGCCTCTGGACCTTTCAGCTTCTCCTGGCCCACTGGCTTGGCCAGCGGCAGGTGCGACAGTCCGCGTAGCACTCGGGCTGGAGTTTATCGTTTCCGAAGATACGGCAATTAACGACCTCGAAAAAGCTCCTCGTCTAATCGTTGCTGTCGTGCCGTCTCGCCTCGCCGGGTCTGGGGTCCGCTCACGATATCCGATCGGAATTCGGGAAAGAGAATCGTCTCTGGACAAATCTACAACCTCTCCCCTACTCCTTCCCCGAGAGACCTGAGTGGCGATAGAAGAACAGGGAAGGCAGCCCCGTCCCCGGCCGCCGTCCTGTGGTCCTGGCCCGTCATGTTGTACAAATTGTGTCATGAGCTCGTCTCTGGCGGGCAATTCGGCTGTCTCATCATAGCTCATCCCTGTTGCGACTTGGTCGCGGGTTTCGGCTGATAACCAGTCTTTCCTCTGAGAACCCGGGCAAGATGACAAAGGAATCAAGGTCTCGTGTTTACTCTGCTCAGTAGTAGAGGATACGGGAGGAGACATCAATGAAACAGCAATTAACCGTTAAGCAATTGTACTCAGGAGTACTAAGGGAGGAGGCCGGCCGACCGACGACCGACGACGCGCGGCGGCCGAGGGCTGGCACGCTCCTTTTTCTCCTTGGAGCACAAATAGCTGCGGTACAAAGCCGCAGATTCAAGGAGTGGCAAGGCAGGCAGCGAGAGAAGCAAGTGTAAGAAGAGGCGGAGAGGAGCATATTTACTCTATAGGGCCACGAAGCGTGTGAGGTCCATGCCGAATGTTCGTGACTTGGGAAAGCCAAAACAATGAGACCCCCAGAGCCTTGCTGCATGTTCGTGACTTGGGAAAGCTGAAACGATTGGAACCCCATGGCCCTGTCACGCGTTCGTGACTTGGGAAAGCTGAAGTTGCTAGAGCCCCTAAGCCCTGCCACGCGCTCGTGACTTGGGAAGGCTGAAGTGATGATCGTCCCATCTCTCTGCAAGATGTTTGTGATAGTGTTGCTACTCAGCATGGCGACCGCGTTTTCGAATCGTATTTCCCCAGACGACCATGAAGCTCGGCCTCGCCGCCCCTTTTCCTCCGACCAACTCTGTCTTGACCGCGATAATCAACTCACAAGGGCTGAAGGGGGGGTATACAGTCGGACCTAGGCCAGAAGAACATCCCTCAAAAACATGGGACCTTCCGTGGGCCACAGCACACAGAACATCCAAGGGCACCCTCCCCAGGATGCACAGAAGCATCCAACAAACACAGAGAACATCAGGATGCCCTCCCCGAACCGACCTCGATCGCATACCTCGGTCCGACTGTACTCTCTTCTCCGGGGCATGCAGTTACGGACTCGCGGGCCCCTCGCGAAGAGGAAGAAGAGGGGCAGGGGCTGGGGGGCGGGGGGGGTCAGGGCGAGGATGGGAGGAGGGAGAGGACACTTATCTGGACGTGGCCAATCGTCAAGCCCAAACTCCCTCGAGAGAGCGAGAGCGGGGCGACGGGGTGGGCGCCGAACGAAGGCTCGCAAAAGCGAGGGAGGCGAGGACCCGAGCGCACACGAGCGGAAGGGCGCGGAGGATGGAGAGGAGAAAGGCTGGGGCGAGAGCGCAGGGCGGGGGGAGGGGACAGAAAGGAGCAGGGGGGCTGCCCTGGACGCGTCGCTCCAGGCTGCACAGGCAGAGAAGGACGGGGTCTCACACTTCTTCTCCGCCTCCTCCTCCCCCTCATCCCTGAGTCCTGAGTGACTGAAGCAATGGCACGCGGCTCCTCCTCCTCCTCCTCCTCCTCCTCCTCCTCCTCCTCCTCCTCCTCCTCCTCCTCCTTCTCCCACTCACCCCCCTGAATCCTCCTCATCCCCCCTGGTCTCATATTCTCCCTCGCTTCGGCCGATCCCTTTTCCCTCCTCCCTCCTAAACCGGCCTCCTCCTCCTCTTCCTCCTCCTCCTCCTCCTCCTCCCGTCTCCTCCTTCTCTTGCTGATCCCTCTCTTGCTGCACCCCCTCGTCCTCAATATCCCTCCCTCCCTCTTGCCACCTTCCCTCCTCCCTCCTTTCCTCCACTGCCTTCCTCCTCGCCCTCCTCCCTTGTCATTACTTCTGTTATTCCTGTTGTATGGGCTGCGCCAATCCACATGTGGAAGGGAAGGAATATATGCCCCCAAAAGGGGGCGGGCATAGAGGGCTTGGGGGTGGCATGTTGATCGATACGCGAGCATATGAGATCGAACGGTCCAACAATGACTTATGATAAATTCCTGAAGAACGACTATTGGTGATCCCCCTGTGCGGTAACATATTTGCTGTTTCAATCAGATTGCACCTCCCAGTGCTCGCACCCTGACTTCCTACAAAAGGGAAACCTTAGTGGGCAAAAAACTTAGGGCCCTAAAACCTACGGAACCAACTTCTGGGGCATCTTCGCAAGAACGAGAAAGGGCGATGATATCCACTTACGAAACCGCGAATGCGGAGAAAACAGGATGAAGCTGGATTCAGCTGGATCGGGCGGGATCTTGCTGGATTGAGCAAGACTTTGACCACGGATGCTCGCGGCGAAGAGCTGCCTCTCGGGGACCAGTCGAAGAGCCACGAGGCCCTGCGTCGTGAGCGGATGACGCGGGCTGGAGGTCTAGAAAGCTGCGCAAAGCAGAGGGCAGCTTCCCAGACCTTCAACAATTTGCTACAAGCACATTGCCACCATCAAGCGAGCGCGCTCTCTGGCACCACGCGAAATATCATCAGAAAGGACATCGCCAACAGAACCCTGTAGCACGGCTAGGACGCAGCAATGGGGGGAAGCACCCTGAAAACAAATGGTGGTCGTCCGACGTATGAAAATAAGAGCGCACTGGTGCCCAGGCGCACAGGTGCCAAGACGCACCGGTAACAAAACGCACAGGTGCCCGCGCTGGCTGGAGCGCGGCGGCGTGCTGGGCCCTCGGCGGCGGCCGCGGGCGCGCGTCGCCGCGGGCGCGGGCGCCACTCGCCGCGGGCAGGCCCGAGTGGAGGGAGGCGACGCGCCGCCCGCCTACTGGAATTCCACCAGCCTCGTCACCTCCACGCGGTGGGCTTTCGGCGCTGGTTCCGATGCGGTGGCGTCCCGTTTCGCCTTCTCCATGTAGGCCACTATCCTCTCGACCTCCTCGTCGGCGGAGTAGCCCGAGTCCCAGGTGCTGAAGCCGGGCCAGTCCTGGTCGTCCAGGGGATGGCCCAGCGGGGGAGGGGGCGCCGCCTTGACCGACTGCGGGGTCGGGATGCCGCGTGCCTGGAAGTATGAGGGATTCACGAACACAGCGTCCTTGTAGTGGAAGCGCGGCTCGACGTGGTTGATCCAGTACGCATCCAGACCTCCGATGTACTGGAAGCTGGCGTTGTGCAGGATCTCAAAGACGAGCTCTTCGGTGTCGTCCTTGGACCTAGCTTGAACGAAAGACTGATCGCCACGGCCCGTGCGACGGCCGTCGAACTTGACCAGGATGACGCCGATCTCAATGTTCTTCCCCGAGTGAAGCAAGGTCTCGTTGAGGACCTCCGCCTCGTACCCACCAGTGCTCAGGCTCCAGAAGTCGATGCTTCGCCGGCCGCCCATCTCTTCCATAAACCTCGGCAAGGCGTAGGCATGGATCTTGTGCCCGCTCAACATGTCGATCGTGCCGTCCTGGGCGAATCCGATCTTCGTGGCGTTCTCGTTGGGGGACATGGCCCCAAGAAACAACCACGCCTTCCGAAACTTGCCCCACAAGTTCACAAACTCGTACACGCGGGGCTCTAAGATCAGGCCGCGCCAGCCCGTGAGCTCGAGCAAGAGCGTGTTGCTGTTCTTCTCACCATCTGCCCCGTTGGAGTCCAGGTAGAAGCCGTTGGTGATGTTTTCCAGCACCTGCGTGATGAGCTTGATGTCCTGCGAAGCGCTGCTGAAGCTCTGGACGTTGTCGCCCGTCTCCAGGCTGTACTCGATCTCCTTGGGGAAGTCGATGAAGGGCATGGCCGAGTAGTGGGCCACCGGCAGCGAGTCGCCAGCCCGGGGAGACCCGACGCCCCACGGCAGCTCGGAGCCCTGGCTGTACCCCTGCGACTGCCGCCCCGACGCGTCCGTCCCGCCCTCGGCCTGGAACTCCGCCGAGGGCTGGAACTCTGCCGTCACCCTGTGCGCCCTGCTCGCGTCCAGGCCCAGGAGGCTGGAGCGGCGCTCGCCGGACGGCCTGGAGACCTCCGCCCTGCGGACGTCCCCCGGCGGCACGAGCACCGGCCTCCTGGCCGATGCGGACTCGAGCCTGCGGAAATACTGCATGGCCTCCGCCGAGGCAGCCAAGGCCTCCACCCGGGCACGCGCGGCGGCGCTTCGGTCGGTCTCGCTCCTGACGCTCAGGCCGACGGCATGGGCCAGGGGAGCGGAGAGTATCAGCAGCAGCGCCACCGACATCTGGGCAGAAACGGGTGGTTCGGTATCCGATGAGCTAGGCGCGCTGCAAGCCAGCGCGATCCAAGAGCCCAACAGGCTGAAGCCAAAACGGCTCACCGAGTGCCCCTGACAATCACAAACCGGGGATGCGAAGAGTCGGGGCTCGCGGGGGATACTACATTCGCCGGCCCAACGGGCCAGAGGCGTGCTAAGATCTCCGGTAACTGCTAAATAATACTTCTTCTTCGCGCGCGCGGGGCGGCCCCTGGGGGTCCCCGGACGAAAAGTACCCCGGGCGATCCCCGGCAGGGTCGGGTCAGAGATGGTTTTCCTCCTGGGCGCCGCCCCCGTGGCCCTCCAGAGAGCCCCAAGAAGGGCCACGAGGCCGCCAAGAGCCCTCCAAGATGGTTCAAGAGTGCTCCGAGATGCCACACGATCGTTCCAAGACGCCCAAGATGGCCCCCAGACGCCCCAAGAGGCCTCCAAGAGCACTCCCCAGAGGGCCCCAAGAGGCAAGATTCATTACTTTTCCGTAGGTTTTTGGCAGATTTTGGCATGTCCATCTTTTCGGCTTCCCGACGCCCCAAGACGGCCCAAGAGGCCCCCAAGATCGGCCCAAGAGGGCCCAAGAAGCTCCCAAGAAGGCCCCAAGATGGCCCAAGAGGGCTCCAAGACGGCCCCAGAGGCATCCAAGACGGCCCAAGAGGGGCTCAAGAGGGCCCCAAGCGATGCCCCAAAGGGGGAACACAAAACTTTGAGCCCTCGGCCTTAAGAAGCCCCCAGGAGGCCTCAAGAGGCCCCTGAGAGGCCCCAAAAGCCCCCAAGAGGCCCTCAGGAGGCCCCCAAGCGACGCTGAAGAGGCCCCCCAGCGGCCCCAAGAGGCTCAGTCATGCGAAGTGGGCCGGCGGAATGAGCGAAGCGATTCAATTCATCGTCCCAGCAACTCGCATGTGCTTGGGTTGGGATGGGATGCTCGCGCTTCTGGGGTAGCGATGCCCTGCTCGCTCGTGCGGGGCCTCCTCGGACAGCCCTGCCACACGTCCGCAACTTGGAAGAAGGTCAAAGTGTGAGAATCCAATGGCCCGGCCACACGTTCGTGAAATGGGAAGCCTGAAATGGTTAGATCCCAAGCGCCCTGCCGCAAGTTCGTGACTTGGGAAAGCTGAAGCGGCTAGAATCCCAGAGCCTTGCCACACGTTCCTGACTTGGGAAAGCTGAATCAGTGAGACTCCCAGAGCCTTGCCACACGCTCGTGACTTGGGAAAGCTGAAACGGCTAGAACCCCATGGCCCTGTCACACGTTCATGACTTGGGAAAGCTGACATGGGTAGAACCCCATAGCCTTGCCACACGTTCGTGATATGGGAAAGCTGAAATGGTTAGAACCCAAAAGCCCTGCCACACGTTCGTGACTTGGGAATGCTGAAATGATGAGAATCCCATGTCCATGCCGCATGCTCGTGACTTGGGAAAGCAAAAACAATGAGTCTCCCAGAGCCTTGCCACACGTTCGTGACTTGGGAAAGCTGAAACGATTGGAACCCCATGGCCCTGTCACACGTTCGTGACTGTGACTTGGGAAAGCTGACATGTGCAGAACCCCATAGCCTTGCCACACATGCGTGACTTGAGAAAGCTGAAATGGTTAGAACCCCGAAGCCCTGCCACACGTTCGTGACTTGGGAAGGCTGAAATGATGAAAATCCCATCTCCCTGCAAGATGTTCGTGATAGTATTGCTACTGAACATGGCGATCGCGTCTTCGAATCGCACTTTTCCCAGACGACCATGAAATTCGGCCTCGCTGCCCCTTTTCCTCCCAACTTTGTTGTCTTGACTGCGATACTCAACTCACAAAGGTTAAAGGGGGGTATACAATCGGACCTAGGCCAGAAGAACATCCCTCAAAAACATGGGACCTTCCGTGGGCCACAGCACACAGAACATCCAAGGGCACCCTCCCCAGGATGCACAGAAGCATCCAACAAACACAGAACATCAGGATGCCCTCCCCGAACCGACCTCGATCGCATACCTCGGTCCGACTGTACTCTCTTCTCCGGGGCATGCAGTTACGGACTCGCGGGCCCCTCGCGAAGAGGAAGAAGAGGGGCAGGGGCTGGGGGGCGGGGGGGGGTCAGGGCGAGGATGGGAGGAGGGAGAGGGCACTTATCTGGACGTGGCCACGCGTCAAGCCCAAACTCCCTCGAGAGAGCGACAGCGGGGCGACGGGGTGGGCGCCGAACGAGGGCCCGCAAAGCGAGGGAGGCGAGGACCCGAGCGCACACGAGCGGAAGGGCGCGGAGGATGGAGAGGAGAAAGGCTGGGGCGAGAGCGCGAGGCGGGGGGAGGGGACAGAAAGGAGCAGGGGGGCTGCCCTGGACGCGTCGCTCCAGGCTGCACAAGCAGAGGAAGACGGGGTCCCAAACTCCTCCTCCGCCTCCTCCTCCTCCTCCTCATCCCTGAGTCCTGAGTCCTGAGTCACTGGCTGGGGTGTGAGTAGCTATTGGAGGTAGCGACATCAGACGGTGGGGGACGAGGAGAGAGGAAGAAAAGGACATGACAACCTCAAAGGAGGAAGACGAGGAGACTGAGGCAGTGACAAGCGGCGGCTCCTCCTCCTCCTCCACCTACTCCTCCTCCACCTCCTCCTCCTCCTCCTCCTTCTCCTCCTCCTCCCACTCACCCCCCTGAATCCTCCTCATCCTCCCTGGTCTCATAATCTCCCCCGCTTCGACCTATCCGTTTCCCCTCCTCCCTCCTGCACCCGCCTCCTCCTCCTCCTCCTCTTCCTCCTTTTCCTCCTCCCGTCTCCCCCTTCTCTTGCTAATCCCTCTTGCTGCCCCCCCCTATCGACCTCCATCTTCTCCCTCCCTCTTGCCACCTTCCCTCCTCCCTCCTTTCCTCCCCTGCCTTCCTCCTCGCCCTCTTCCCTTGTCATTGCATATCTTCTGACTGTTTTATGGGCTGCGCCACTTCACATATGGCAGGGAAGGCAACTATGCCCCCCCAAAGAGGGCGGGGTATAGAGGGCGCCCGGGAGACATGCTAATATATACAAGAGTATATGAGATGAAACAGTCCAACAATGAGTGCTGTTGAATTCTGAGTCCTGCAGAACGACTATTAGTGATCCCCCCTGTGCGGGAACATATTTGCTGTTTCAATCAGATTGCCCGTCCCAATGCTGGCACCTTGTAATTCTGCAAAAAAGGAAACCTTATTGGGCCAAGACCTTAGGGCCCTAGAACCTCCAGGAACAACGTGTGTGGAAATCTTCACAAGAATCACTAAAAGCGATTATACCCGATTGCGAAACTGTGAATGCGGAAAAACCATGATGAAGCTGGATTCATCTGGATTGGGCGACATTTTGCTGGATTGAACAAGACTTTGGCCACGGATATGCCAACACCAATTCCAAAGTAAACCTCCTGGGAGTTGCATCCAGACGTGCCCACAGGATAATGCGCGCGGCGAAAGGCTGCCTCTCGGGACCAATCGAAGAGCCACAAGCCCCTTTGTCGTGAGCGGAACACGCTGGTTGGAGGTCTAGGAAGCTGCGCAAAGCACTGGGCAGCTCCCAAGACCTTCAACAATTTGATACAAGCATATTGTCACCATCAAGCGAGCGCGCTCTCTGGTACCACTCGAAATAGTAAAAGAAACAGACATCGCCAGCAGAAGCCTGTAGAACGGCTATGATGCAGCGATGGGGGGCTGCACCCTGAAAACAAATGGGGGCCGTCCGACGCCTGGAATCTAATCAAGGCATCCCTACGACGTGAGCATGCTTCGCGTCGGTGGCACCTCGGCAATATGCTGCTCTCGAGGCGCTTGAAGGTGTCCTTAGGATGCGGGCGTTTGGAGGCCGTTCTTAGAGGCAGCTCACTCCCTGTCTCTGACACCCATGGGAGGCATGCTGAAACGCACGCTTCATCAATCGAAGCCGTAACTCACAAAAACCTCAAGCAGGAACACACACGATGGAAATACCAGAACACACACGCGCGACATCTCTCTGAGTCCAGATTCTACTGGGTTTCAGGAGTTGACCATGGGTACCAGCGCAAATCTAGCGCAGCCATACTTTGAAAGATGGTGGTGTTGCTTAGTTTATCCCTGATGCAATGTGTCAGCGTGCTGCATGGCAGACGCAAAGTGAAAGTATGGCACGTTGAACCTTACGCAAGAAAATGTCAGCGCCCTTCAATTTGCAACAACTCGGGCGAGTACACATTCATGATTAACAGCACAGGCTGACAATACCATAACGCTGCTTTTCTCTCAACGCCTGTGGTATTCACGAAGCTTCGGGCTCACCCGCACGAGCTCGAGTAACCATTTGGGCAGCGCTGACCAACACGTATCAGCAACCAATCTCACAGCATCAGGACTTGCTGGCGCATTCAACCTCTTCCCTTCCAGCAGACGCTGGTAGCAACAGGATTCGGGCTCACTCGTGCGCACACCCGAATTGGACAAAATAGTGGCGTGCATCCAAACAAGTTGGAGATCCAAGGACCGCCTCAACTCGGCTACTTGTTGCCCCAAAGTCCAAAGCCGTCCAGCGACGTCCCAAAGGGCTCCCAAAGGTTCTAACATCTCCAGAATTGTGCCCCAAGAGGCCCTGAGGGGTATCCAAAATAGGTCAATGGGGGCCTCCCATGAGGCCCTAAGCTCTTCAACAACTAGACAAACCTGCATAACAAATCAATGGCTGGGGCTTCTGGGGCATTTTCACACTCCGGACAGCTTCAGACGCTCCACACCTCACAAGATAAAAAACGAATGCTGGCTCAATCTTATGTTGTTCTCATCGCACTTGAGGATCACATCTCAAAAATAAATTCGAGCACCCAGAAACGTATCGAAACAATGTCGAACGAGTATCGCCTCCCAAAGCACCACACATGAAATCCCTCAAGTTCCGGTACTTTCCTGGTGCTCGAGATTATCTCTGGTGATCAAGGCTAAAATAAATTGGAACATCATAAGATCAAAGCGGGACCAAGACGGCTCGAGCACAGCCAGAGACTGCCCACAAAAAAGCTCCAAGACTGCCCCACGATCTACGCAGACGTCCCCGAGATGGTGCAGCCGAGCATCCAGTGTCTAAAATGGGACGTATCTCTTTTGCTTCTTTAATGTGTAAAACTGGGGACTCAAATTAGATTCGGGCGAGCTCGGTGGGGAAACGTCGCGCCCAAGACGGCCACGCGACCGCCCCGACGAACCCCTAAGAAATCCCCATCAAGGACCAAATAGGCCTCCCAGGCACCTCACAAGCCTTCAGCACGCTTCCGAAAGGGTGAAGGAATGATGGGGTAGGAAAAGGGCGGGAGAATAACGAGGGAACCAGGGAGAGTTCAAAACCCGCGCCACTTCAGACGGGGGGCGATGAAATTGAACATGCCGAACGCGAGCCTCACTCCACCGAATACCTACTCTGCGATGGCGCAGGGTCCCGTCTCCGAGGGAACCTCGTTCTCCAGCACGCGGTCAGCCAGCCAGGTCGCCGCTCCGAGCGAGGCCTGCACTGCGACTGACATGGGCCGCCCTCGAAGAAACCTTGAGCGAATTTGGAAGAGCCCCAGAAAATGGGAATGACAGAAGGGCAACAACGTTCGAGAACATGCTCATGATGCTGCTGATGATGATGACAGCGATGCTACTGTTGATGCTGATGGTGGTGAGGACCGGGAGCATGAGAGGAAGAGGGGAACGCGAGGCAATGTATCTTCAAAAGGAGAACCTAACACCACAGGATGGTTGGGAACCAAGTACAACACGAACACGAACAACACAGTTTCCACGGAGAATGCTGAGTTTCCCTTCGGGCGTTTCCCTTCGAACGAGTTTCCCTGGGATCGTCTGTGCTGTTGTTTTGTTGAAGGGTTTCTCTTGGTTTCCTGAATGTCTTTGACTCCGACACTTGTGTTGCTTTGTTCTTGTTCGTGTTCCTTGTATGTTTGTGGCCCACACCACAACTATATGTGCATTTCATCCGCACGAAGACGGCATTGGTGACGGCGACATCAACGATGAGGACGACGATGGCGGCGGCGACGACGACGATCGGAGCGCGTTCGGCCCTCCCCCCGTTAAGCCCGTACACCCGTATGTACAGATACCCGCCGGTCGGAGGAAGTACGTGGAAACATGAAGTGGGAAGGCGGATAAGTAGACTAGGTTCGGTAGATGTGTATATTCGCTACGTAGGATGGCTCTTGAAATATGTAGGGATCTGGGTATCCAAAAATACAGACTGTCAACGACTGGCGTGTATACAATATACGTATATATGTACGTGTGGGAAGAAGGCGAAAGAGAGAGAGAGAGAGAGCGAGAGAAAGAGAGAGAGAGAGAGAGAGAAAGAGAGAGCGACACACACACACACCGAGAGAAAGAGAGAGAGAAACAAAAAAGTGGGGACAACCACAATGATGACGTCCTGGATCTTCTGGTTGAGCATGCTCGCCTCGAACGATACGGTCCAACACCTACGCCGATGTCGCATACTTGCATATGTGCACGAAGTCCGATCGTAAACATGCATCTGTCTATCTCAGCTGCCTTGTCGTTAAGACACATCCTTGGACAACCCATCGCTGTTAGAAACACCCGAAGAACAAGTACTGTTGATGTTTCGGAATCGCATCACGTAAATATCTGACCAATGGGTCAGTTCAATCGATGTACGGCAAGCAACGTCGGGCGTTCCTGTGCACTCCTGGGATTTGCCGCGTGAGCCTCTCTGGGCTCACAAGGCATGAGCAACGTGAATTTGCCGCGCGCCAGACCAGGCGGGGTGCCTGTGACCTTTCCCACTCAAGGCAACCTCGAATACCACCCCAGGACAGGTGATACACCTGTGCACCACGGCGATCTTGCGCAAAAGCCGACTGCCTTGGGGAAATCATGCCAGAAGAGCCGAGAATCGAACCGATAAGTCGGATCGGCGATCGAAATGATTCGGATCGGCGGAGATCGCCAGCCGAGTCGGGAAAAGTCGAATCGGCAGACATCGGCAGGCTAGTAAGCCTCCAGTGAGAACTCGGATCCCAATAGGAATCCGGCATCGAATCGAATCTGAATCGGAAACCCTCGAAATCGAATCGACTCGAATCGGAGTCAATGAAATGAGCCCTGCCATGCTGGCTGTCGTTTCGACTCGAACGCTGGCTGCAGCGACGGCACCTCGCAAAGTCCGAAGCCGCTCAAGGGTGAGCGCGGGGACGGCGAGCGCGACCCCCTCCACACGGCCCAAAAACGCGCTCCTCGCACGAACCCGCGCGTGTCGGTGTGCAGAGGCGCTCTGCCACATCACCCGACCGCTGGCCGCATCCAGTCCTCCTCCTCCTCCTCCTCCTCCTCCACCTCCTCCTCCACCTCCTCCTTTCTCGAGCGCACACCAACATGGATTCGGGATCCCTGGATCCAACGCGTGCGCGCCAGATCCACAGACCGGGGAAGGCGCCCCCGAAGGAGGCGGCCACTGCCGCCTCATTCGGCGATGGATCTCGGGCCGATCGTGTGCGGAAGCGGGGGCACGCCGCGAATCCAGCCGCCTTAACGCGTGCTCCTGGACTTTCTCTGGCGGCGCGCCTCGGGGGAGAGCGAAGAGGGGCCGCGCCTGCCCAGGGGCGGCGGGACACGCCAGAGGCCCTCTGGCCTTCTGCGAGGGCCGCCTGGGTTGCTCGGATGTAAAGCTTGTAGAATGATGGGCGTGCTTTCCACCACCACCACCACCATAAGTTGGAGGGGGGAAGGAGGAGGAGGACGAGGAGGAGGAGGAGGACGAAGAAGAGGAGGAGGAGGAGGAGGAGGACCCCCTCCCCCTCCAACTCATGGTGGTGGTGGTGGAAAACAGGCCCATCATAGAAAGCTGCTCAGAAGGCCAGAGGCCCTCCGAGCCTTCTGAGAGGGCTCGCCCCTTCTCCAGAGGCCTCCTAGATGGGGTCGGAAGAGATGGGGTGCGAGGATCGCGCCGCATCGCCGATCTATCGGCGATGTATCGGCAATGCATTGTCGACGGCGGCGATGCATCGGCGACGTCGACGCGACGCAAGTCGGGCTCCACATCGAGCCGCATCGGCGATGTGGCACGATCATGCGACCACATTTGCTCCAACCCCATCTAGGAGGCCTAGACTCGCACTTCCCTTGATTCGGGCATGTCCCTCTACAGGAGGAATCTCAAATCAAAGACAAACAACAAAATATGATAACGAGTTCTGGACTTTTGATTTACTAATTTAAAATATGTTCGACATATGTGCTGTATGAAAACATATATCGAAATTAATCAGTCATCGCTTCCCTGCTCAATCTGCCTGTAGGGGGACATACCCGACCTAACACTCCCCCCCCGGACACGCCGCCGACTTGCGCCCGCCCCGATGTGGGCAGGCAGAGCGGCCGTGGCCGGCCAGAGTGAGGACAGCAGGGGCGGGAGAGGGGGAGCAAGAGGGGAGGAGGGAGGAGGAGGAGGAGGAGGAGGAGGAGGAGGAGGAGGAGGAGGAGGAGGAGGAGGAGGAGGAGGAAGGAGGAGGAGGAGGAGGAGGAGGAGGAGGAGGAGGAGGAGGAGGAGTTGTTGTTCATGTCTCCCGAAGCGACAGACGAATCAGTGGTCTGGCTGAGCACCGGGCCCGTGGAAGGGCATGCACGCCCTCCTGGCTTGGCCAGGAAGGAATGTACGCCGATGCTGGGCCCAAAATCGGCCTGGCAAGGATCGGTGTCAGCGTAGAGTGGGTGCCCTCCGACTGGGACTCGATCCTGCTCGTGCTCCTCGGTGTCCCTGGCACTCCGACCTTCGGCCACATGCTGCTTGTCGGTCGGACTCGATATCACGGCAGTCTGCGCGCAGTCTTGCAGAGGGCTGTCACCAGGGAGCTTGTTCCGCGGAGGGAGGCCCCACCTTCCCCAGCGAAGGGAGGCCCGGCCCTGAGCCCCGGGCGGCCCAGCGCACCGAAACGAGAAGGCGGTTGAAGGCGCGAGGCGTTGGAAACCACCGTGCGGAACAAGAGGGACACGAGTCGGCGGCCCGAAAGGGTGTGGTTTGCAAAGGGTGCGGCTTGCAACTGGCACCCTGGGGGACATCCTGGGGGGCACCCTGGGGGGTGCGGGCGCGCGGGGACCTCGATGGAGTCCTCCCGCACCCTGAGGAGGCCCGCCGAGGACAGCGTCGTGCCCCCAGGCCCCAATTTTGCCGATCGCAAACCACACCCCGGCGTTGGGGAAGCCAAAAGGTAGCGATACCGCGAACTACTCCCCAAACCCCTCCTAGGCGCGTTCTGACCAGGATTTCGAGGCGGATCCAGCGGTGGCGACGGGGGCCTCCGAGAAGGCCCAAACAGGGGAAAGCGAGGAAGGGGTACAGTCAACCCGCAGAGTAAGGATGTGCGATAAGGATGCGAGGGCCTTGGACGCCCATTTCGAAGCTTCCCGAGCGGGGCGCGGCCAACGAAAGTGTCCAAGGATGGACCCAGGAAGCAAGGATGCAAGGGCACCCTTGGGAGGGATGCCTATCCTTACTCTGCGGGTCGACCGTAGAGGCATGGGTCCCTCTTCTTCCTCTGACTTTTGAAGTCGCCGGACATGCGCGCACAGCTGGCCTGGGGAGCTTCGTGGGCCCTGGAAACGACAGGGCCGTTTTCTATTGGTTCCGTTTTGCTGTTTTTTTGCCGGTTCCGACGCCGTTTGTTTTACCGGTTCCGTCGACGTTCTTTTACCGGTTCTGGCTCCGGATCTAATGCTGGAGCCGTTTGTTTGCCGTTTCCGGTCGCCGTTTTTTTGTTGCCGTTCGCATTTTCAAGGGACACTGTTTTCCCCACATCCTGAGTGGGGTTCTTGTCTTCCCAGAACATCCTCTCCTTCTCCCTCCCGCCTCCCGCCTCCCGCCTCCGATACCATGCCTACCATTCCATGCCATAACATACCGACCACATACCATACCATACCACACCACACTATAACAATACCATACATACCATACAATACCATACCATACCAACCATGAATTGGCATACCCACCATACCATACAATACCATACAATACCACACATACCATACAATACCATACCAAACCTACCGTACAATACCATACCATACCTACCACATACCATACCATACCACACCACACTACACCAAGATCATATATACCATACAATGACATGCCGTGCTTACCATGCAATAGCACACCTACAATACCATACAATACCATACCACGCATACCATACACTACCATACCAAACCTACCGTATAATACCATACCAAACAATACCATACAATACCATACGATACCTACAATGTCATACAATATCGTACACTACCATACCACACACACCATACAGTACCATACCAAACCAGCTACTCCCACCCCTCCAGGGAGGCCCCACCAGAGCGGGCAGGGCATCCGCACACCATCCATATTATTCATCGGGTTTCGTAACATCCTTATGTGGGGAACTCCGTTAGCATAACTGTTGGAAACGGTGGAAAAACGGCCCTGCCCTGCCGTCTCCGGGGCCCACTGAGCTGGGCCGGCTGGAGGACCCCCACTCCCCCGACCTGCGCGGGCGGCGGCCCGCGGAGGGCCTCGGGCTCGGCGCGCCCCCCGAGCGCGTCGCCGGCGAGCTCGAGAACAGGGGAGGAGGAGGAGGAGGAGGAGGAGGAGAGGAGGAGGGAGGAGGAGGAGGAGGAGGAGGAATGAAAAGACGAGGACGAGGAGGAAGAGAAGGAGGAGGAGGACGACGAGGGAGAGGAGAGGGAGGCGGAGAAGGAGGACGAGGAGGAGGACGAGAATGACGGGGAGGAGGAGGATGAGGAGGAGGGGAGGAGGAGGAGGAGGAGGAGGAGGAGGAGGAGGAGGAGGAGGAGGACGGGGAGGAGGATGAGGAGGAGGAGGAGGAGGAGGAGGAGCCTGAAGGAAACGATCGATGGCGCTGGCAGGGAGGAGTGGGAGCAAGGGGCATTATATGCACCTCCCTCGCTGCTGCTGCCCCCGCTGGCGAGCCCCTCCAGAAGGTCACGATGATGACCACGAAGATGAGCAGTATCGACTTCCCAAAAGACCTGCGCAAGTAGGGGGCCGCGTGCGAACTGCCCCTACCCCCCACGATTTTTGAGGGGGAGGGTGGGGTTCACTTCGCTCGGGAGGCCACGCTGGGGTGCTCCAACGCTTGAGCCTGCGCAAGCCGTCCCATCCGGCGTGCGCCAGCCTGGGTGGATTAAGGATCCGTGGATCTGGCGCAAGGGCTCCCAGCCCACGGATCGGGAAGGCACCCCCGAAGCACGAAGCTGGTGTCGCCTGATTTGGCGACGGAGGACGTCGATCTCGCATGGAAGCGGGACCCGTCGCTGATCCTCGCGCCTGAATCCAGGATGAAGTTTCCTCGATCCTGGCATCTCTATCCTGGTCCTCGTCGTCCTTGCTTCTCTCGTCGACCCCCCTCTCGGCCAGATCTGGACGCCGCCGCCCTTCCGTTCCCTCCTTCTGGCCACCTTGCCCAGATAGGGCGTGAGGGAAAGAGAGATACGGCGGGGGATGGGGAACGGGGGGGTAGAATGGGGAGAACTGAGGAGGAATGTGCACGGAGATAACGTGACATAGGAAGGGCAGATAAGGAGGAGGAGGAGGAGGAGATGGGCAGGCAATGCGTGAGGGAAGGAGGGGGAGGGGAAAAAACTAAGAAAAAAGGCACAGGAACGGAGGAGGGGCGAGGGAACAGGGTACAAAGGGAGGCACGGAGCAAACGTGGGCATCACGGGGGATGGATGCAGAGAGACGTCCGGGAGGGGGCAGAGGGGGGAGGGGGGCCAGAGGGAGGAGGGCGTGGGAAGGAGGGGGGGAGGTGGAGGGGGGCAGGGGAGAGGGCGTGGCTCGACTCGACTCGCTCTGAGGCGCCAGTCTGTCTAGTGCCTCGTGCTGGCAAAGCGGCGCAGAGAAATGCCCGTAGCGGCGTCTACTGGCGGGAAGGGCGTGGGAAGGAGGGGGAGGAGAAAATGAGAGGGGAATGCGACAGAGGGGGAGCAGGAGGCAAGCAACTGGAGGGAATGATGTGGAGCAGGAGGAGAGCGGACGAGAAGTAGGCGGGCGGGCGAGGAGAATGAGAAGGAGAAGGAGAACGAGAAGGAGGAGGAGGAAGCCAACAGAGGGGGGAGACGGAGGACGGCGGGAAAGGCGACGCAGGGGCAGCAGCAGGGAAAGCCATGTGCTGGCTGGTCTGGACAGACCAGCGCTCTTGGGTCGACGACCCCTTCACCCCGCCCCCTGCCTACTGCTGTACTGCTGCTGCTGCTGCTACTGCTGCTGAACCTTTTCCTCTTCCTCCTCCACCTCCCCCTCCTTCCTCGTCCCCCTCCTCCTTCCTCTTCCTCCTCCTCCGCCTCCTCCTCCTCCTCCTCCTTCGTCCTCCTCCTCCGCCTCCTCATCCTCCTTCTTCCTCCTCCTTTTTCCCCCTCCTCCGCCTCCTCCTCATCCTGCGCTACCCGTCGGTCGGAAGGAGCAGAGTAGATCGAACCAAGGTGCAGGAAGGCGTCGGTTCGACTCCCGCCCGCCCCCTGAAGAGGAGGGAAGGGGGAGAGCCGCTCGACTCTTGAAGTAGGCAGGCTCTTATAGTACATTCGGATTTTGGCACCCGAAAAGACCTACCTACAAAGACTGCCATGTACCTTCCTCCTCCTCCTCATCTCATCGAAATCTCCCGGCACCCACCAGAACCACAAAGAGTCTCTCGATCCTCCTCCTTCGTCTGCTCCACCCAAACAAGCAAAATCGAATGGCCAATACATATGCCACTTCCCGGTGTTCGGGATCCCGTTCTCGCCGATGAACTCTTGTCGGTACGCCTTCCCTCTGGAAACGCCGGCTCCAGGAGAGGAGGAGGGGGAGGAGCAGGGTGACGATGATGATGAGGAGGAGGTACATGAGGTGGAAGCGGGCGAGGGGCAACCGGATCGGCACAAGGAGCGAAAGAAGAAGAAGACGGAGCAGGCGGAACACGGAGAGGGGGAAGCGAAAGGAGGATACAGTAGGGGGCCGACCACACGAAACCTTCCACAAGAAACCCACGCCTGAGACCCAAGGACGTCCACGTAATTGTTAGTGCGGGAGCGGCACGCGTTCCACGGCAAACCATCGAAACCCAAGGAACCCAGGGCCCCCTGGAGGCAAGCAGGGTGGTTCTTGGCATGGGGTCTCCACTGTACGGACGACGAGGACAGAAGACACGCAGAGGGAGAACGATAACACGAGCAGGAAAAGGGCAGGGAGGATGCAAAGGGCATGGGAGAAGCAAAAGGAAGGCCTCGGGAAGGAGGGGCGAAGGTAAGGGAGAAAAATGAGGATGGTCGCGAAGAGGGAAGAGGAGCACGAGAGACGAGGAGAGATGGGGGACGAGGGGGGGCTCATATGTTGAAGCCTCGCCGCGCCAGGCAAGCGAAACGGCTGGCCATCCTCCCACTTGGTCCACTCCCCACCACTTCCGCCGTCGCTGCCTCCCTGCTCTGCGCCAGACGGCTCCTGGCACTCCTCGCGCACCACCTCCCCATCACCACCGTACATCGTGACTGCTCCTCGTCCTTTTCGCCCCCGTATTCCTCGCCATCCTCCTTGGCTGTCTTCCTCCTCCGCGGCCTTGCCATCGTCTATCTACTCAACATGAAGGAAGCGGGTCCTGCGGGGAACGGGTCCTGGTCACCAGGGCACTCCCCCCGGACAAACACTTCGTCCTGAGCCGTTTTCTGGCAGTCCCGTGCACGGACCCAAGAGCCCGAACACGGCAAAAACCCATGAGTAGGGGAACGAATACTGACATAAACATAAAAACTTTGAGGTCCACGCAATTTCTTGGATCCGGGCTGGACCCCCTCCATGGCGCGGGGAACGCGCTAATGGCGGCGCCGGAGGGCGCCGGAGGCGCCGCCAGGGGGGTTCCAGCGCCGATCCGAGAAACCCGCGCGGACTTCCGAGTTGTTATGTTTGTGTCGTCGATTTTACATATATATATATATATATATACAACACAAGAAAACGAAAACCCTCAGGTCGACGCGGACGACGGCAGCGGAGGCCGACGACGCGGCCACCGCCGGCGCGGATGAAGGAGGAGGTCGAGGAACGAGGAAGATTCGACCCCCGCATCCTCGAACTCCTCCTCCTCCTCCTCCGCCTCCTCCTCCTCCGCCTCCTCCTCCTTCTCCTCCTCCATTGCTTTTCCTTCATACAAAATTCTCCCTGTCGCACCCCGAGGCCATTTTTTAGGGCAGGCCAGCCGTTGCGCCTGAGAAATCCTCACCATTTATACCCCTAATGCTTGAAACATGGGCAACAGCTTCACACATTGAATGCGGGTCGTTTTCGAAATGTGTCTCTCGCGGCAACGTCGCGCATATTCGTTTCAGACCATTTGCAACAACTTCACGAATTCAGGGCGGGCCGTCTTTAAAATATGGTTGTCGCCTGATCGCCGACCGCATTCGCACCGTGTTTGCAAACTGTTCACCGATTGAGGGCGGGTGGTTTTCAACGTGCAGTTCTCGCCTAGGCGCCGCGCGCACTCGTTTTAAACATTTGCAAGAGCTTGACGGATTGAGGGCGGGTCCGACTGCATTCCATGTAAAAACTTGCGCTAGCTTCATGGATCGAGGGCAGATCCTTTTCATAATGTGGCTCTCGCTTTAGCGCCGCGTACACAGTTTTTTTCAACTTTGCAAAAATCTCGCGGTTTCCCATGATCAGCGTTCCAAGAATGGTGTTTTCGAAGGATTCAAGATAATGGGGGTGCAACAGTTACTTTGACTCGCGGCGTTGAGGTCCCAGGAATGGCGTTTTGGCGCGACTCTGGATCGTCAAGACGCAACAGTCAAGTTGATCTATGGCGTTGGAATTCCGAGAATAAGATGTTGGCGCTTCGGGGTCTCTCAGCGGCTGTCCTCCAACCAACCAGCTCCCTTTGAAAATGAACCGCTGCGCGGGCCTATGAAGAGGAAGCTTGGATGGGGGGTTTGTTCAAAGATCGTCGATGACTCTCGGGTTTGCGCTGGTCCTCTTCCTCTTCCTCCTCGTCTTCCTCCTCCCCATTCCCTCCTCCTCATCCTCCTGCTCCGCTCCGAATTCCGAGCTGAAGCGCTCGTGTGTCCCTGGCGCAGGCGTTGCCCTGTCTGACGGTGCCATTAGTCGCGCCGCGCAAGGCAACTCCGAAAATGGCTCGGTCGCCGCGCCGACGGGCGGGGCCGACGAGGGACGGGGACGGGGGTGAGACGCGACGGAGAGCTCGAAAGCGGGCGACGAAGCGGGCCACTACGCACGGACCAACAACGACGAAAGGATGCGGGAGGCGGGAGCAAAAGGGCTCGATGAGACGACGCCCTCCAAGTGGAACTTGTCCCACAAGGGCCAGGCGGTGATCCCAGGGTCAGACGTCAGGCCCACGTCCTCTCCGCAGGGGCACCTGGGCGCCCCCGCTGGGAAGGCCCCTGTAGCGCAGGCCTCGTGTGAACAAGCGCCGCCATGTAGATCTTGCGCGGCCGTCATAATCGCATCAAACTATTAACGAAATCCCCAGTATACCACTAGCGCCGCACAATAATTAAATAATTGTGGGGGGCGGCATTCGCCGAACGATATAGTTAGCGCCGCGCACGTGATCGAACGTAAAAACTCCCGCGCCCGGGCTCGGGTGATATCCCAAGTGGACTTGGGATAATAATCCGAATAATACTGAAATGCGAGCAATAATGATATTACTACCAATAATAATGCGAATTCCAAAAGCCAATGATCAAGGCGGTAAGAGTAAGAGCGGTAATAATAAGATGAGTAAGACAGAGTAATACTGCGATTGCAAAGAAGAAACATAGCCATACTCCAAACCAGAATACGGATGGCAATGAGAAATAATAAGCCTAATAGGAAAAATGGCACGACTACTCATAATCATCATATGAACACGAGTTGGTATCGTTATCTCCTACATCATCCCTGCCCTATACAATTGGTACTACCACCTTTGTTGAAACAGTGTTTCCTCCTGGCCGCCGCGCGGGGTCGTGCATCCGAGGGCGCCACCCCCGCCACGCACGGCGCGTTCTCGTAGCACCGCACACGCACAAAATAATTACGACAGCTTGCAAACCAAAAAAAAAAACGACAAGACGTACAATAAGACAACTAATCATCATAATAATACAACTAAGAATGACCACTAAGAATAATGAGGACCATCAGAATAACAAGAACGGAAATGCGAATGACAATACGAATAAGAAAAATAATAATAATAATAATAATATAATACTTATAAAAGTAAGAGAAAAAACATTTCTACGAGTAACAACCAGGGTCATAACGCAATAATAATAAGAATCATAATCAGAATACGGATACGGATAATAATAATAATACACATCATAATGAGACTACGAATAAGAACAGCAGGAATGAATAAGGATAGCAATACAACGAATGAAACCATCACTGAAATTACAAACAATAACAGAAGTAATAACGATCATACGGATAAGAGCGGGGGTAAGAATAATAAATATAAAGCCACAAGTAACGATGCTACATCCAGTACAAATAATAATCGCAATCCGAATAATGATACGGATAATAATAGGAACATCGTCAGACTAAGAGGAAGAATAAGAGTACAAAGCATAATAATAGTAACCGGGATTCGAATAATCGTGATAATGATAATCATCATAAACATAAGTATAAGACTAAGAAAAAAAGAGCTAGGCCTCAAAATCTCCATCATCTTCGTCCTATACGGTTTGTATAAATTACCACCCCTGTTGAAATATTGCGTTTTCCCAGCCGCCGCGCGGGGCAGTGCGTCCGAGGACGTCGCCCTCGCCGCGCGCGGCGCGTTATCTTGGCACCCGCGCCGCCAAAATTTCTCGCCCCCCATCGTAGGCGCGGGCGGTTCCTCTTCAAAGCCGGGCTCACCCTCGCGTGGGACTTAATGTTGTCATTGTTGGCGTTGGCGGTGTTGTTAGTGTTTTTGATATTGATGTTGTCGTTGGTGTCGTCATTGGCCTCGTTGTTCTAGATATATATATCTAATTGCTGACATTATTGTCGTCGTTCGGGTTGGCGCCGTGCCGCAAGGGAGTCTTGACGAGGAGGAGGAGGATGATTTTCAATGCTTAGCTGGGCCAAAACCTCGTGACTGAGGCCTTGGCGCTCGGCTTGATCCGCAATGGCGAATAAGAGCCAACATGTCGCAAAAATGTCTCAGGCGGCGCGCTTGCTTCGGCGAGCAGACTCCTCTGCATTCACATAGAGGTGCGAGGTGCCAGGGTCACGTTTCTGGGGTGCCGGGTGCGTTATTCTTTCGCCGGAGAGGGGGGGGTCTTCATTGCTTCTCCGGGATATTCCGCGTGTTTTCAACAGGGCCACATGGGTGGCCCTGCTAAGAACGCGCGATCGGAAGCGAAACGATGTCGGCGTTGGCTGAATCTTCTGTTGAGATACCGATGCCGATCATGGCCCCGTATCGGAATCTGCGCCGGCATCGGCACTGGCGCCGGCATCGATAACGATACAAATACCGACATGCACAAAACCGTCTGTAGCACCAGCGTCATCATAATCCACGTGGTCCCTGCAGACGTTTGGAGGAGAAAAGGGGGAGCGGGCAGGGCGCATCAGGACGAGAAGGACGAAGGGGAGAGCCTGCAAGGGGGAACCCGAGGAGTGGAGGGGGGGGAATGGAGGAAGCAACAGCAAGAGGACCAGGACAAAAAGGAACACGAAGCGGAGAATCCCGACAGCGGTTTTGCACCAGGGTGGCTCCGAACCTTGTTTGCGCGTCCTCAGAATCATCCTCCCGCCCCTGATATGCCCGCACCTTTGTCGTCGTCGCTGTCGTCGTCATTGCTGAAAACGCCTCCCTGGCAATATTTGTCGCCTTGTCCTCTTCCCGCACCTCCTCCTCCTCCTCCTCCTCCTCCTCCTCCTCCTCGTCCTCCTCCTCCTCTTTCTCCTCTCCCTCCTTTCCCTCCCGTTTCTTCCCCGCCCCTCCTTCCCCCACCTTATCCCGTTCCTCTTCCTTCTCGTCATTATTCTTCCTCCTTTCCTTATCCTTATCCTCGTTCTCGTCCTCGCGCTCGTGATGCTCTTCCTCCTGGCTTGTCTCGCCAATCCTCTCCTAGTTTTCCTCCTCGCTCTTATGTTTCCCCTCCCGCTGGAAATTTCAACGTGTACTGAGGCATGGCGCCTCAGAAATAATGCTTTCGCCTGGGCGCCGGCTAAGTGCCCCCTCGCGGCGGGGGCGCCTGGGCCCATCCTTGGGCGCAATTCGATACAAGACATGTAATGTGGCAGGTAGGGTTGGTTCGGCTGCCTGACTCTTCTCTCCTACCTCTCGGAGCCTAGTTTCGAGTATGTCTCCGGCAAAGCTGACTGGAACAACTCGCGCCCGGCGTCTCGGATCCCAGACTTGCGAGGACGTCTCAGGCGAAATTGGCCCGACCATCTCGCGCGCGGCGTCTTGGAGCCCAGAGTTGCGACGATGGATCAGACAAGCATGGCCAGAGCACCTCGAGCGCATCATCTCTGAGCCTGGAGTTGCGGGGGTGCGTCAAGCGAAATTGGCCAAAGAACTCTGGCGCGTCATGTCTGAGCCCAGAGTTGCGAAGATGTCTCAGGCGAAACTGTCCTAACCACCTCAAGTCAGGAGCATTTCGGAAGCCAGAATTGCGAGGATGTTTCAGGCCAACTGGAGCGGACAACCTCGCGCGTCGCATCTTTGAGCACGAGAGTTGCGAGAATGTCTCGAGCGATTTGGGCCAGATCACCGCAGGCCACAACAATTCTGAGACCCAAATTGCGAGGATGTCTCAGGCGAAACGGGCCAGACTCGCGCGCGGCATATCTGAGCATGGAGTTGCGATGATGTCACAGGCGAAACGGGCTAAACCACCTCATGTCAGAGTATCTCCGAACCCGCGCGCGACATCTTGGAGCCCAGAGTTGAGAAGATGTTGCAGGCAAATTAGCCAGACCTCTTCGCACGCGGCATCTCAGAGCCAGAGGTGCGAGGATGTGTCAGGCGAGTTTGGCTGGACTACCTCGCACCTGGCATCTCGGATCCCAGAGTTGCGAGAATGCCCCGGGCGAGCTGGGCTGGACCACTTCAGGCCACGGCATTTTTGGGACCAGAGTTGCGAGGATGTCCTTTGCGAGTCAGGCTGGACCAACTCAGGCCGCAGCATATCCGATCCCAGGGTTGCGACGATGCCCTTGGCGATTATCAGGCCAGTCTACCTCGCGAAAGGTATCTCTGAGCCGAGAGTTGCAAGGATGTCTCAGGCGAAGTGGGCGGGACCACATCAAGCCAGGAGACATCTGAGGCGAGCATGGCCACGCCTCTTATCGCTCGGCATCTAGGAGCCAAGAGTTGCGAAGATGTCTCAAGCGAAGTTGGCCAGGCCACCTCACTCGCGGCATCTCGCAGAGTTGAGAGGATGTTTCAGGCCAGAATGTCTGAGGCAAAATTGGCCAGATCACCTCGCGCGCGGCATGCTTGCCCAGAGTTGCGAAGATGTCTAAGGCGAAACGGGCTGTACCTCCTCAGGGTATGGGGCATCACTGAGCCCAGAATTGCAAGAATGTCTCAAGTGAAACGGACCAGGCCACTTCGCGCGTTGCATCCTGGATCCCAGAATTGCGAAGAGATCCCCAGCTAAATGGGCCAGGCCACCTCGCCCCTGGCAGCTCGGAGCCCAAAGTTGGCATAATCTCTCAACGCAAAGTGAGGCAACGCCATGGGGAATGATGCAACAGGAATGCAATCCCATGCGTCGTAATGCAATGCCGTGCGATGCAATGCAATAGATTGCATACAAGTGCAATACGTATGCCACATGCAAGTGCAGATCGGCATGAACTTGGCATGAACCACATGCTTCCACTGTGGGGGATGTGAAAGAACGAGAGGGAGGAAAGGAGCACGAGGAGGAGGAGAGGAGGAGGAGGAAAAAAAACGTTAGGAGGAGTTGTTTTCCAGAGCTCCCCGTGCAACTTGATATGAGCTACTGTGCAACACCAGTATCAGCAGGCGGGGCTGGCAACATGATCAAGCACATCGGAAGCGCACTTAGCAGAACAGGAACTCACTTAGCAAGAACACGAAGTTGTGGTTGGCTCAAGATGCGGTCCAAAATATCTGCAACAACTGGCGGGTCTCGTGGCCGGAACGCATGCGAAACAATATGCAGCATGGCAGCTCTTGGGTACTGGGGGACGTATCAGTATCATGACTCGTTGCTCCTCTGGGATGAGGACAGCAGAGGAGGAGGAGGAGGAGGAGGAGGAGGAGGAGGAGGAGGAGGAGGAGGAGGAGGAGGAGGAGGGGGACGACGACAACGAGGACGGCCCCTCCATCAGAGTGATGGTCGCCGCCGCCGCCACGCGAATGTCCTGCATGGTCACCAGGGCGTTCTCGGTGCGGCCAGCCCGCGAGAGGGAGAGGCGAGGGTCTTTCCTCGCCCCCCTCCCTCCCACTGCTCCCTCGAACCCTTCCCTCCCTCTCCTCCTCCCTCCATCGTCATCCCTCCCTTCCTCTACTCCCCCTCTCCCTCTACTCCCTCTACGTCCTCTACTCCCTCCACTCCCTCTACTCCCTCCCTCCCTCTCCTCCTCCCTCCCCTGTCCGCCTCCTGCAGCTCCCGCCCCGTCCCTCTCCCTCCTCCTCCTCCTGCCTCCTGGCCGTTCTGTAGACGCCCTCGTTCTGCTGGCGCTGCCGCTCCTCCTCCTCCCAGCGCCCGCCGCGGCGTTGGCGGACCCGCTGGCTCTGGGGGCTGCCCCGAGCGTCTGCCCCGTCCGGGCGACGCGCTGAGCAGCTCTGCCACGGAGCTGCACAGCTCTCGGGGAGAAACGAGACTCGGGCTCGGGGGCTCGGGTGGGCCTGCTGGGGCCACTCGACGAAAGCCACGCTGAAACTTGACGCGAGCTCCCGCTGCGGACGTCCCACGAAGACTGGACCCTCAGAATCCACGACGCGCTCGTCAAAAAGCCGAGCCCCTCAGATTCGTACGTTTCCCTCAGATTCGTCACCCACCACAGACTGTGACCGCCGGCGCTGGGCGAGGGCGAGCAGGGAACCGCGCGGAAACATCACATACGGAGTACCAGCCGAACCCGAAGACCCAAATTTCGGGTTGGGGGGGTAAACAGGTCCCACATGTGGTTTTCAACGTTTCCCGACGGTCCCCCGCCCGAATGGGAATGGAGGGCAGATTGGGACCTTCGGGTCGGGATGGGGTGGTTTTCCGAATGATCTTCTTATAGAACTGTGCACCCACGCGCTGTCTTACATTCGACAGCCCCTAATTACAATATTACGCGGATAGACTTGAGTGACACATGCTCGATGCACAGGCCTGGCAACGAGTATGACCGTCGAGTTCACCAAAGACCGGCCGCAAGGATGTCTACAACAAAATGCCGCAACAAACATCCAACTAAACGACGCCCAATGTTAAAACGAACGTTTCAAACGATGCTGGTGCTAAACGACCCGAACCACGAAACGAGGCGCCGAAACAAAAACAAAACGAAACGAAACAAACAAACAAAAACAAAACACGGCACGAAAAACACATCCGCCGACCTTGTCATCGTGTGTGAGGGGTTGTTCCGTTCGACTGGGTTTTTTCCGTTGGAGTCGTCGTTTCCGTCCTCGTCTGTTCCACTTGCTTGGGCCCTCTTCCTCATTCGCTCCGTCCAAAGCCAAAATTGAACAACATCGGAGTGGAATGGAATCGCGCCATACCGGGGGCGGTCCCGGGGGGGTCCCGGGGGGGGGATCCACCCAAATACGCCTTCCCCCCACGCCCTGGCCCCCGCTCCGCGGCCCCCGCCCCGGCCCCCGCGCCGGCCCCGGCCCCGGGCCCCGACACGGCCCAGCCCAGCGGGCCGCAATCCAAATCCCGGCCCCAACGCACCGGCCCCTGGCCCCCGGTCCCCGGCCCCAGCCCCGCCCGTGGCCCCAGCCTCGGCCCCAACCCTGGCCCCGCCCAAGCCCCAACACAACCCAAGAGGCTCCCGATTGTAAGAGAGCCCCAAGATAAGTTCCAGAGCGTCAGCGACGGCGGGAAGGAAAATGAAACGGAAACATCAATAGCAGCTGGAGCAGGGTACTGCGTTTCGACCTGCACGCCGACTGCCGCGGCGATGGGGCCAGCGTATAGCCCCCACTGCAAGCCGCGTGCGTTCGGTCAGACGGCGCCCGCCAACTGCGCCGCTGCCCCATTCCAAAAGGCAGGGGGGTCCGAAAACATGGGCCCTCAGAGGGACATGCTGAAACCCCCTTTCCAGCCTGCGAGCCGCAGGCCCTGACCAAGGCGGAAAGGGAACAAGCAAAAACCTCAGCTGGCCGCGCCTGGCCGCCGTCGCGGGCGGGCGCACGCAAGGCAAAGACGCTGCGCTGTCGAGAGGAAGCAGCGGCGGAGGAGGAGGAGGAAAACGATGAGGAAGAGGGGAACGACTGTTGCGCGCAAGGCGCGGCGAGAGCACGCGGGGCGAAGACGCGGCCGCGGGGCGTGAGCCATTACGCCCCGCCGTTCGGCGCGCGCGCCCGCGCCGAGCACAGGGGGAGGAAGAGGCGGAGGAGGAGGACGAGGGGCAAGAGGAAACGCGCGGCAAACAGAAGGTGACCAGGAGGAGGGAGGGGAGCGGCAGAGGCAGCGCAGAGCAAGCAGGGGCGACGGGGCGGACGGAAGTGGCCGTCGTCGCGGCCGCGGTCAAGGTCAGGGGACGTGTGGTTCGGGCATGGCGTCGGGGGCGTTGGTCGCGGTCAGTCGATGGGTGTGGGGGAAGCGGGCCGGCGGCTCAGGCGGCGTCGGCCGCGCTTGCAGCCGCTGCCGCGGCCGGCCTGGCCGTGGCCGGCCTGGCCGCGGGCGCCCCGGCCGACGCCCGCAGCCTGCGGAGCGTGGCCCGCGCGTTCTCATTCTGGGGGAGATGCGAGAGTCGCTGGGCGCGCTCCGCCGCCACCTGCGAGGGATCGCCCCCCGTGGCGTCCGCCGCACGCTTGGCCAGGACAGCCAGAGTGCATCGCGCCTCCTCGCCCCAGCCGCCGCCGCGCGCCTCGACCACCATGGGAGTAAAGGTGTTCCCGGCGGCGGCACAACTGCGCTCGGCGTCGAGGAAGAGGCGAGTGGCTCTTCGCACCGCTCGGCCGCGGCGCCAGGCGCGGCAGCCGAGGCTGCGAGGTCGCCCCGCAGCCCCGAAGTGACAGCGCAGTCAAAGTCGGCCGGGGCGCCGTTCCGCCAACGGGGAAACGCGCGCATCCGCCGAGCGCCGGCCGCCGCCGTCAAGGTCGACGCCGCCCCCCCCCCCCGCCCCCAGCGCGCCCTCGCCCCCCGCGTGGGCCAGGCTGCTCGAGCTCGGAGCCCGGGAACCCCGCGGCTTGCGCGGCAAAGAAAACGTGGCCTCGCAGGGCGTTGCGCCGCTTGACCTGGCCCCTTCGGCAAGGTCAGACCAGCGCGCGGTCGCCGCAGACGTCGAGGAAGCCGTCGCAGGCGGGGCAGGAAGTCTCGACGTCCGCCAGCTGCATCCGCAGGCGCCTCTGCAGAGCGACCTGCATCAAGCCGCGCGGGAACTCCGCGCCAACCTCAGCGCTGGGCCGCGTCTGCAGCCAGCCGCTGGCGCGGGGTTCGCTAACCAGCGAGAGGTGGGCCACAGTGGCGGCGCCGGCGCGCTCCCAGAGTTCGGCCATGGCGGCTTTGTCCAGCCTGTCAGAGAGCCCCCGCTGGTCGCCGTGCTGGCCGGCGTCCAGAGCGACCCGGTCTGCCCGCGGAAGCCGGGCGTCGCGGGCCGCAGCGACAGCGCCCAGGGCGCCGTCGGCAACAACGTCGTCGTCGCAGCCAGCCCAGAGCTGTCGGCAGCGCGGGAGGCCAAGTGAGAGGCGGGCGCGCGGCGCCCCGCGGGGCGCAGCCCCAGGCCGCCGGCCTTGCAGGCGAGCTGCGCCTGCGCCCAAGAATCATCCGCCGGGGAGCCGCTGCTCGGCTGCTCGAGGCTGGCGCGCACTGCGTTTGCCCAGTGCAACAAGCGCTTCCGCGCGCACGTTGGGCGGGGCAGCCCGCGCCGCGCGGCTGAATCAATCTGCAGAAGCCAGCGCGTTGCCGCAGCAGGTGGAGCGCAACCTGGGCGTGCTCAAGAGCGCCATGTGCTTCGAGGAGCTCGGTTGCATTGTCGACTCGCTGCTGGGCGCGCTCGAAGCAGAAAGCGTCGCTGCCGACTGGCGCGCCCGAGAGTTCGAATCCGCCGCCCGCGCGCAGGCGACCGCCCGCGGGAAAAAACCTGCAGATCCACCTCGCTGTTTTTCTCCCGGGCCCCGGGCCCAGGTGGAGCCCCACGACCGCCAACTCTTCGGCCGGCAGGTGGGGCAGGCGCGCCCCGGCCTGCCAATCGTCCGCCAGGGCGCCGTCGTCGAGGAAAAAGAAAGTCAAGTCCAGAGTGCCCGCGGCCGCGGGAGCGGGCTGGCGGAAAGCGCTCTCAGCAGCGCGCTGCAGCGCCAGGGAGAAGAGCAGCGGCCCCAGCGGGTCAGCCTGCTGCGCGCCGCATTCCGAGCGGATCGAATGCTGGCGCGCGCAGGCAGAGCCAGAGCAGGGATGGGGGCCCGGTTGCACCGGGATGCCCAGAGCGCAAGAGCGGGCAGCTCCTCGCGCGCAGCTTGCAGGAGGGCTTGGCGGTCCAGGGCGTCGACGCGTTTCTCAAGTCAAGCTTAACGAGCGCCTCTGTCGGGGCAAGTGAATCGCGGCCTCGCGGCCGCCTGGGGGGGGCGACGCCCACCTGCAAGGGGGCGAGGCAGTCTCGGGCGGCGTCAGGGACCTGCCTGCAGAGGCACTTCGCCACCGGGCGCCGCACTGGTTCCCCCGCGGCCACTGGTCGAAGGCCGCCGTCCTTCTTGGGCAGGGCCGCCGGCGGGCCGGCGTGGCGCCAGCCAGCTGTCCGCCGCGCCGGGAGGGGCCGGACCCTTCGCGAGGAGGTTGGCGAGGCCGAGCAGCTACTGCTGCACGACGCCGCGGCAAGCCGCCGTCTGCAGCGCGCCCTTGATCGCGGCGCTGCGACCGCGGGCCAGAGGGGTCTGGAGCGGAAGGCCGGGGGAAGGCCCGCACCTCGCGCTCGAGCGAGGCGGCGTCTAGCTGCGGCGCCGCCGCCGCGTTGGCCGCGGGGGGGCTGGCGGCGCCCGCAGGTCGCCGGCTGCTTAAGTGGTGCTTCTGACGCAGCTGCTCCAGCGCAGCCGTCGTGACCTCCGCGGAGGGTTCGCTGGCGAGCGCCGAGCTGCTCTTGGCGTACTGCGCGTCCGCGGATAGTTCCTGGCAGCGCTGCGCTCTCTGGGGCGCGCGGGAGTGTTCGGCGGCGGCTCGCTGGCCCGCGGTCTCGGGCCAGAGCGAAGCGCGCGCCCCCCCCCCCCCCCCCCCCCCCCCCCCCCGCGC